GGGTGGGGGTGGCAGGAGGGGTTTGTGGGGGCGGCAGAGGCCGCGGGGCCTGCCCGTGGGGCCTGCTCCAGCCCGGCCCTCTGCTCCCTGCCTGGGGCCTTGGCCCGGGGTGGGTGTGAGACCCTCTGGAAGGAGGCAGAAACCAGTGAGACCCTCTGGAAGGAGGCAGAAACCAGTGAGACCCTCCCGGGAGGAGGCAGAAACCAGTGAGACCCTCTGGAAGGAGGCAGAAACCAGTGAGACCCTCTGGAAGGAGGCAGAAACCAGTGAGACCCTCTGGAAGGAGGCAGAAACCAGTGAGACCCTCTGGAAGGAGGCAGAAACCAGTGAGACCCTCTGGAAGGAGGCAGAAACCAGTGAGACCCTCCCGGGAGGAGGCAGAAACCAGCAAGATCCCCGTCTCTCTCTCCTCTTGTTCACGGTGTGTTTGTCTCCGTTCAGCTCTGCAGGAGAATTTGGACAAGAAGCTGTTCGGGCAGCACCTGGTGAAGAAGGTGGTTGTGAAGGCTGTGAAGGGCTTCTTGAGCAACAGCAAATCCAAAAAGCCTCTGGCCCTTTCCTTGCACGGGTGGACTGGAACAGGCAAGAACTTTGTCAGTCGGATAGTCGCTGAAAGCATTTATAAAAGCGGCCTGCAGAGCAAGTATGTCCATCAGTTCGTGGCGACTTTACACTTCCCTCATGCTCAGAACATCAATACCTACAAGGTGAGAGTGGGAGCCGTGGGGCACAGCTTGGCTGCTGCCCTGCCCTGTGGGTGTGCAAATGTTGGGGCACAACCGCTACTAGAAACATAGATGTTGCTTTAGGGAGTAAAATGTAACCTCTGGCAGTTTTAGAATCCTCTGTACAGAGCTGGGTAAATCTCAGGACTGATTTTTCTGTGAATGTAACTTTTTATTTGCTGAAATTAATAGTTCATGAGGCTGGGGAAGCACCCAGTGACCTCCAGGTGTGGCAGGTGCTGTGACAAGCTGAAGCTTCCTCCTTGAGGTATAGGGGTGTTTTTCAGTTTTACTGTACACTGAGCAGGTTATTTAGGTTTTCTGTGCATCCATTTCCCAGCTGTAAAACAAAATGAGAAAACAGTCCTGTTGCCAGAAAGGTACAAATCAATGTGTCCAGAATTGTTCTGCCAGTCCAGTGTCAGTGCAGCTCTGTAAGCAGGTGGATATTGGGTGGAGCAGTAGCTCAGTTGCCTGTTTTCTGAGGGGTTTTGTTCTAATTAACTTTGTTAACAGCAGAGTTTGAATGAGTACCAGTGTCTTTTGTCAGACTGAATGTTTGTTAAAAATGGGAACGAGGTGGTCTACAAACCTAATTTCTAGGTGAAGGAAATACCTGCTTCTCTTTTTGGAGCTTTCTTTTCACTTCTTGCAGCTGAGCTGTTTTAAAGTAGAATGGATTCTTCTCTGCTTTTGTTTTGAGGTGATTACACTTGGGAAACTTGCTGCCTGAGACAGTTATCACTTCTTTTCCACAATACACCCAGTGCCACCTTCCTCTGCTGCCTCTGCAGTTCAGAGACTGACTAAACAGTGAATATAAAAAAATAATTAAAAATTAATCATTTAAGGTGATTGAATCAGTTCCTTCTCATTTATCTGCCAGCAGATCAGCCTTTTTTTGTTTTTTTTCTATTTACTTCACTATTGATCTTAAATGTAACAAAGGGAAAGAAAAATGCAATGCTTAAGTGAGAGAATCTTTAAATACAATAAACCTTCAGCCCTGCTGAATAATACTGTGTTTTAAAAAGGGCTTGTAATCGTTTCCCTTTAACTACTCCATGGTTAAAACATAGGGCTGAGAATTGAATTAAGTTTCTTCTGCCACTGCCTCCAGGTGCAGTTTCTCACTGGTGGTGTTCAGGGAGCAAATTTAATAGTGTAACTTTGACATTTTAAGGATGTTCAGACCAAAGTGCTGCCAAAAAGAATCATCTTCCTTGTCAGGGCCTTGCTTGGTGTTGCTGTTCCTTGGTGGTGCCCATCCTTTGTCCTGCTCTTCACTTTAATTTTTGTTACATTTACAGGGGTACCTTTCTCATGAGATTTCCTGCTTGTCCCTTAAACTTTTCTTCAGAACCAGCACGAGAGTTTTATTTGTAGCTTTTAGCCACGTTTTAGTCAAGAAGTCAATGATACTAAAGTGACACCATTGAAATGGCTCTTTCAGGACGGAAATCAAAAGCAGAAGTGGCACTTTCTTTCTTTTCAACACAAACTCTTTCAGCATCTTTTCTTTTACTGGTACTTAGGACCAGTTGCAGTCGTGGATTCGAGGAAATGTGACCATCTGTCCCAGATCACTCTTCATCTTTGATGAAATGGATAAAATGCATGCAGGACTCATTGACTCCATCAAGCCATTCCTGGACTACTATGAGCTGCTGGATGGGGTGTCTTATCGACAAGCCATCTTCATATTCCTCAGGTAAGAAGTGGCTTCTCAGGTTAGTTGTTCTGTGCACTTTTAAAGCTGCCTGCAGCTACAGGCTTTCTTTTATCTTCATTTAGCAACGCAGGAGCTGAAAAGATAACTGAGGTGGCACTAGACTTCTGGAGAAATGGGAAGGCAAGGGAAGATATACAGCTTGCAGACATGCAAAATGCACTCTCTGTGTCTGTCTTCAACAACAAAAATAGTGAGTAAAACTGTGGTTGCTTTTGAGGTGGTAGAAGTTCCACAAAAGGGGTGGGCTGCGTTTTCACAGCTGTGGTTTCTACTTGATGTGGCCTCCAGCTGTCATCTAGTAAGGAGCTATGATGCAGTTTTGGTGCCTACAGATGGCTGTGGAGATGAAGGTGAGAGGAGCTCTCTGTGCACCTTGGCTATGTTACTGTCTGTTGGGTTGCATATGTTGGGGAAAGTCTATCCTGTGTTTTTCTTGTCTATCCTGTGCTTTTATTGACATGCTAAAGGGAAAACAAACAGCAATCCTGACAGTAAGGCTAGATGTTGCAGTATCTGAAATATCTTTAAGCAATAAAATGTTTGATTAGAGGGAAACCACTTCCTTGGCCCCCAACCCACTTAGCCTGTCTTTCTCAGTCTGTTAAAAGCCTGAAGGCAGCTCTTTAGGAGCAACAAGCTGACATGCCAGCTGTGGGTAGTGTTAATTCTTCCTAAGTTTCTTTGCATAGATCTTCTGGTGAAAAGGGGTTTTATCATAATTATGCTCTAAAATAAGCATTGGAAGCAAACTTACTGTAATTTTTAGAAAGGTTAGATGCAAACTCTGAAGACAAGAAAGCTGGTCTGGGAGAGCTGGTAAGAGATTAAAAAAATGTGTTATTTTATAGATAAGAGAGGGAAAGGGATGAGAGTAGCCCCTGGGGACCAAGGCTTAAATGCATTCAGTCAGAATTTATTCATTCAATTCCAATAGACCATAGATGTGTCTGTCCAAAATTTACTGCACGAAGTACCATGAGAATGGGCTTGTATTTGTGCTTACTGGTGCATTACAGGGTGCTAAAAACACAGGTGAATTCTTACTGGTATGTAGCAGGGGGCTACCAGATGTCTCCTGCTCCTGTTCAACCCTTGGTACTGTTTAACTAGAGGAGTTAAGCAAACCCCTTTTGCAGGTGGATTTTGGCACAGCACCTTGATTGACAAAAATCTCATTGACTACTTTGTTCCCTTCCTGCCTCTGGAATACAAACATGTGAAGATGTGTGTCAGGGTGGAGATTGAATCACGTGGCTACACTGTGGATGAAGACATTTTAAGCAGAATAGCTGATGAAATGACCTACTTTCCCAGAGAGGAGAGAATTTATTCAGATAAAGGATGTAAAACTGTGGATGCAAAGCTGGATTATTACTATGACTTCTAATACTTTATTGCTCCAACCTGCAAAGAAGCCAATATAACTTAATCATCAAGTGGAGAACCCGGGACATTTCATTTTTAAGCACTTTTTAAGGAAAGGAACATGTGTTTTTTTTTAACTGGTGTGTAAATAAGCAGCAGTGCCTCTGCATTTTCATTCTGTCACTAGTCATGGCTCTGGAGTTCTTCGTCCTTGTGTTGCCAAGGTAAGAATAAACCATGTTGTCAACGTGGGGGTCTGTGTCTGACAGCTCTGAAGACTCCTCTTGGATCATGTGTCTGTTGTCAGAACTGCTTGGTGGACTTTTGGCACTTACAGGACTGACCATGAGCTAATTTTAATTGGATTTTGATTTAATGTGGATCATCTCAAGGCAATGTTGAGAATTTTAATCAAGTTACTATGTTTCTGAAAGTCTTCACTGGGCTTGTGTGGGAATGTTCTCCTAATTGCATGAAAAATAGGGTGTGTGTCTTTTCTCCTTGAACAGCTTGGTTCCAGTAAAGATAAGGGGGGAAGATTCTGTGATTTAAAAACATCTAGAGTCCTCTCTCCACCATCATGCAGTGGTTTAAATTGGCTCCCTCAGTGTCAAAGCAAGAATATGAAGCTCTTTGGTGTGACTAGTGTTCAGAGAGCAGACTTAATATTAAAAGGAAGTGAGTTAAAATCCTTGGCTGCCACACCGGTGTATTTGGCTCCTGTTTCAGGGTGGTTTTTTATGTACAACATTGCTCACAGCATGTTCTGCCAGGTGTAATCTCAGGAGGGAGAAGGGTGTTTTCTGACTGGTGAAGCAGCTTCATGGAAAAGGTGTAATTAATGGAGAACATGTATAGATTAAATCTTACACCAAGGAGATGGAAAAGAGGTTTCTCCTTTTCACCTGCATGTAGAATTCAGGGGGCAGCTTGCAGGGTTTTCCCTCTTTTATCTTCTCACTCTATGCCTGAGAGGCAGGGATGAAGACAAATCCAAAGACATTTGAAAAGAAAACGTGACACGTGTCAGCTGGAGTTACTAAGAGTGTCAGACTTGTTTCTAAATGTGAGCACTGCAGAGGCTTTTTTCACTCCAGTTTCTATTCAAAATAAACTTTTCTCATCAGAAATGTATTTATTATCTTCCCTCTGGTGTTCTTTGCATTGAGTAATTCCATGTTCATTTTGCACCAACTTATAGACTTGTTGAGAAGAACGTACTGTGTTTCTGGCTGAGGTGTTCAGCTGTGCTTCAATAGAGCTATAGTCCTTGAGTTCAAAGGGAGGAGATTTGACTCTTTTCTATCTGGTGAAAGGGAAACAAATGAAGTTTGGAGTGGAAACTGCACGTTTAGGCCATCAGTGCTAATTACACTCACAGGGCTTTTGGAGAGGAGGTCTTTCTAGATGTGTATGTGCAGAACAGCATCATAAAGATGAACTTGTCTTCTACAGCCTAGTGAAAACTGCTTCTCATCTCCTCCTCCCACTGTGGTGTTCTGACTAAACATCCTGCAGGCTCTGCTTGGGGCTACCCATGTTTTCAGTGGCAGCATTTTGAAGTTTTCTCTGCAAGGGGAAAAAAGGGTCAGTAAGACTTCAGCGGTCCAGTTCTGCTCTGAGGTTGTGCAATATGCAAGCAATCAGTCCCAGGATTTGTCAGCAAATGAACCCTTTGAACTCGGGAATTTTATTTGTTCTTTTGACCTCCTGATGATAGCAAATGACTGGCTAATGAAAAAAGCAGACATGAAAATGATAAACTTCTAATTCTGTCTGATACCTGTTAATGAAAATAGAGTGCAACCAAGCGGTACTGTGGCTTTTCCAGCGTTAACTGCACTCTTAGTTCTCCTTTATGTGCCACTGCAGCATGGATCCTAGCTTTTGATATACATTGATAGCAAGTATTTAATTGTATCACAGCCCTGGCTCTCTTAAGATGGATGGAAGCTTCTCTGGAGGGTGTAGAAGTGATCTTAAGAGGGTGGAGACTGCCTCTGCCTAATCTCTCTTCTGACCTCATGAACTGCAGACCCATCTCCATTTGGGTGTAGGAAATGTGTGTGCCTGGAATCACTCCTGGCTTTGCTCCTGCCATCATTCCTCCCCCTCAGCCTGCATGGTTTCCAAGCTGAGATCTTCACTCTGTCTGACTTGCTGTGACTGGGTAGATTGGGCTGTTGTTCTTTTTAACAGGCCACTTGAAACTGGATCAGACAACTTAAAAAGAAAATGCCAGATGGGGGAAAGGTCTGATCCCTGGGGAAATGGTCCATTGGCCTGGTGAGTGTAGCTGAAGAGCCAGTGGACTGAAGTGTTTGTTCTTGCCAAAGTCCAGTACAAGCCACTGCTACTCTGATTCAGCCTTTTTCTGCAGGGAATGCTCCAAGATCTCATGCTGTGCTCATAAAGTTAGAGGCTATGGCTTAAATACGGGGAGGTATTAAGTCCTGGTTTTGCTAGGAAGAGGCAGCCAGGCCCTGGAGATTCCTCTGCCCAACGCCCCAGGGCAGACAGCTGAGCTGCGTGTGCAGGGCCAGGCAGGCACAGGGCAAAGTCCTCTCTGGCTCAGATACATGATGAATGCCTTTGCCAGCTAGAGGAGAGACAGAGGAGGAATAGCTGAGCAAGCTTCCTGAGGCTGATTTGTCCTGCAGTGCCTGGCAGTGTGGTAGGAGATACCTGTTGACTATGAAGCAGGCAGAGGCCTCAAGACTTTTTCTCAGGTGTTTGTTTCTGCTGAGCTGTATTTAACTGCTGAATGCCTTACTGTGCTATGGGATGACTTGAATATCAACAGGCTACCTACTTTTCTTATCTGTTCTTATAAACAATTTTTTAACTCTAAAGGAAGCTTAACAGACAGCTGGGTGCAAACTGCATAAACTACTACTTTCCTATAGCTCAAAATTATTAAACTAAGAGAGGAAAGTGACTTAAGATTTATTCCAGCTGCAATACAGTAGTAGTGTTTAGTGTGTTGAAACTGCACAAGTGTTGCAGCATTTATACCTATGAATAGATCAGTTAATAGGCAAAACATCATACATGAAAAGCAAGTCCAATGTCCCAAGGTTAATGGCTCTGGAGGTTGCATCAGCGAACAGTTGGCCAGCATTTGACAAATACCACAAGGGGCTGTAAAAGGCAATTGACACTTTTAATTTAGAGGTTGACATAAATGCGAAACTCTCTTGTAATCTGAATTAACATAATAGTAGTGAGACTTAAAGGTTTTGCAGCACAAAAATAGCCCAAACCCTCATACAGTTTAAAAAAAACAACACACTACAGTCAACCAAGCAATAGGCACTTCTGTCTTGCACTGCAGTATTTAAGCCACAAGTGATGGATGATGAAGAGTTAAAGCCTGCAACACAGTTTGAAAGCCCAGCCTTACCAATTTGGGTGAAGGTTGAATCATCTTTCCCAGCTTTCTAACCCATCACTCACCCTTCCACACAGACATTCTTTAAAAAAAAAACTATTATAAAACTTACTTCTCTAGGGAGGTAGGGGACTTTGATTGCTCCCAAACTACCTTCTCTGCAGCTCTCTAGGAAGATCTTTGTATTGCTGTTGCTTACACTTTTATACTTCAGTATAAAAATACACTATTAAAAATAACTTCTCCCATGAAAGTGTCTTCCAAGTAAGGTGAAAGTAACATTACCCACTCCTAGGCTAGTGGGTGTAACACCCTGGAGTTATTAAACTAATTCACTTAACCCCTTTAAAAGAATATAAAGGTCTTTTTACAGTTTCTTTTTCTCCAAAGAAGCTCAGGGACAAGCAGTTCCTTCCCCACCTCAGCCTTTCTCCTATTATAAAACATACTTCTCTAGGGAGGTAGGGGACTGTTGATTGTTCCCAAACTCCCTTCTCTGCAGCTCTCTAGGAAGATTTTTGTATTGCTGTTGCTTACACTTCAGTATAAAAATACACTATTAAAAATAACTTCTCCCATGAAAGTGTCTTCCAAGTAAGGTGAAAGTAACATTACCCACTCCTAGGCTAGTGGGTGTAACACCCTGGAGTTATTAAACTAATTCACTTAACCCCCTTAAAAGAATATAAAGGTCTTTTTACAGTTTCTTTTTCTCCAAAGAAGCTCAGGGACAAGCAGTTCCTTCCCCACCTCAGCCTTTCTCTACTATTTAGTACAGATTTCCCTGAGCTCATCCTGGCTTTCCATGTTACTGGTGCAGATGTCATAGATGCCACAGCTCAGACATAAACTGTCATCACACCCTTCTGTCCCTGAATAGATGATGTCTGTAGAAGGAACATGCTTCACAGCCTGCTGTGAAGGATGGGAAGCTTCCTACCATACCATCATCTTCTTGCAGCACATCAGGGTCTTCACCCTTGCAGACACAATCAGCCCTGAACACACCACACATCCCTCCATTTCAATAACCCATCAATGAGACCCTGTACAAGGAAGGGAATACAACTGTCTCTTCTTTGCTCTAGGCTAGTTTGTGTGGGAAGAGGAATACTTAATAATCCCAGCACTTGGAAGAGTAAAGGAAAGGCTGTATCCAGTGCTACTTCAGTGACACACTCAGAAATTCTCTATAGGTTAAAAGAAGAATAAAGGAGGCAACATTTGGATAGCAGCCACTTCAGAGATGAACAGTGAGATGTTAAAAAAAGTTTAAAAGCCCACACAGCTCACTCTGGTAACTTCACCATAGTCCCTGCAACAGTAAAATAAAAAAGCTTGAGTGCAAATATATAGATTTCCAAAAGCTCTGAAAGTGCTTTGGAGACCTGAAGGGTGCTAATCAGCCCTTGGCTTTCATGTTGTTCATGGCAATGTCTTCATGAACATCCAGCTTGGCCTGTACAGTCTTGCAGCCTTTATCAGAGTAGATTTTCTGCTCCTTTGGGAAGAATGTCATCTCATCAGCCACAGCCTGGACAACCTCCTCATTGACAGCATAGCCACGGGCTGTCATTTCAGCCCTGACACACATCTTCACATGCTTGTGCTCCAGGGGCAGGAAAGGGACAAAATAGTCAATGAGGTTCCTGTCGATGAGGCTGCTGTGCCACAGTCCACCTGGAGGGGTTTGGGGAAAGGGAAAAGCAGGGCAAAGTCAAGAGATTAACCACATGGTATGAAGTAAAAGGGATTTCCCATTTTCTGGGAAAAGTGACTTACTATTCTTGTTATTGAAGACTCCTACAGATAGCATGGGCTCCAGGTCTTTCAACTGAATCTCTTCCCTGCTCTTTCCACTTGTCCAGAAGTCAAGAGCTGCTTTATTA